GGACCTGACCTAGGGTGGATTTTATACTGGGTTTTTTAGGAATTTGAAAGACGCAACTCTAAATTTGGTTTAATTCGGTTTTAAGGGGGGGATTGTATATATGTTTTGGTTTTAAGTATGTTGTGCGCCGCCCTGAGTCCCGTCGGGAGAAGGGCGGCATATAAATTAAATAAAATAAATAAATAAATAAATAAATAAAACATTAAAAAAATGCCCAAGGATTTGCTATGAAATATTGCCTGACTTAACCTCAGCAATGTTAATAATTCAGCCAAAGCTTTCAATAATGAAGTTGTATTTGTACTGCCATCAGGCTCCTTTTTATGTTATGCATTATAATTCCTTTATTGCTTCATAATAAAAGCCCCTTAGAGATTAGAAATTGTGGCCTTTTTTGTTTCTCATTTTGCCTTTCCTCTGAGAATTTCAATTTAGAAAAAAATGATTCACAGAGGACTTTAGTCTAATGGGGGAGCAGTAAGGAAAAAAACCCCAGATACTTTGGCTTTTTAAAATATTTGTAGCAGAAATAACAGTAATAATTCTCCATTTATTATCAAACAATCTGAGAACAAGGAGGAAGAAGAAAAGACCATGGTAATTAAAAAAAGGTAAGTAAGCAGTGAATATAATAGAGGACAATATAAACACCAGCTGTTTTGGGACATCTATTTGAAAAACATATAGTGATAGGATGATATTTATCCAAATTCCAAATAAATATATATCTATTGTTGATGATGATAGCTTGCATGTTCTCAAGAAGAAAGTGAGCTCTTCAGTCCGTAAGACAGAATTCTGTCATGCCAATGCTGGAATAGAAAACATAAATAAGCAAAACTATGAGCCATTTATAACAAAAAATTATGTATAAAGGAATCAATTGCTCTACTTCAGAATTTTCCCAAAAACCTTCTAGTCTTTTGTCCTCAAAAGCTGACCAAGATTTTTAAGTACCTCAAAATGTCTGGGATTCTGTCATATCACTGCCTGAGTTCTGGTTGCCTTTCAGTTCTAGACACTTTACAAAAGCTGCAGGAGAAATCCCTATGTAAAACAAATTTCAGATCCACCTTTATGAATAAGATCACTATGGAAGAATTGACATGATTTCCAATTCACTTTTCATTAAGAAACCATTTTTATTGCCTCTTACATACCTGAGACATGTTGGATAGCTCCAAGGGAGAAAATATGGTTCTCGCTTACTTGTCCACTGCCATAAAGGCAACAGTATATTGATTGCATGCTAGGGAATGGTTATTTGATGGAAATAGATTTGCAATGTAACACATGGACAGTTTGCCTCCTGGGAAAGCAATACTGTAGGAGTTTAGTCAGAGGGTGTAACTGAGAGAGTGACAGTTGAGACAAGGCCCTTCTCATCATTACCGGCTCAGACAGGTTAGATTAGCAATTGTTTATGGGAACTGAGACTCAGAACATCTGGAAGAAATTAGGCAGTGAAATATGAATAAAGAATAGAACTGCTGGTAGTGGATAGTTTATACATTTAACAACAAAAAATAGAATACAGACTCAGCCAACTGCAAGTTATTAAGTAAGATGTTGCTTAATACAATAGGTGAACCAGATCTCCCACTTTTTCAGAAACCAGCATAAATCAGAGAACGCTCCTTCCTCTGGTTGGATAAAGAGAACGTTTTGTGTGTATGATACATGAAGATCTCACTCAGAAAAGGAAAGTCTTTTTTCATGTATGACCATACTGGCAGGAAGAAGCCCTGGAGGATGGAGAATATGATGGCAGTTGTAATTGATTGCCTTCACTTGAAGCCACACCCAGCCTCTTAAATTAATTACAGCTATTCCATATCCACATTGTCCTATTTCTTTTCCTGATAGTGTAACCAATGTTCACTTTTTCATGATTTTCAGAGGAGAACAGCCAAGCTAATTGCTTGCCATCATCCCAGATTGTATATAATGCTTTGGCAGGGAAGATTGGTGGAAAAGCTAGAAATATGTCAGTAGTGGCGGTCTTATAATGGAATCAGCTCCATAGAGAATTCTACCCAATATTGATTATTATTCATGTTTGTTACTATAACATTAAAATCTGGATTATTTAAGCTTCAACTTCAGTATTTGTCCTTCCAAACAACAGTCAGGGTTGATTTCCTTTAGGATTGACTGATTTAACACTAGATCTCAGCAAATACTGATTACATTGTATATCATCCAACACAATACTATAGTTAGAAATGAGAAATAAAAATAATATGTTTGTTTTCAGAATTTTTTAAAAAATGTACATATTTTTTTCTACATTAGTTTGCATCCATATCTTCTATTTTCTTCTATATCTTTGGGGTAAGAATGCCTTCAGCATGTTCATAGGAACTTAATCTTAAAGATAGCAATTTGTATTTAAAAATGCAAAGGCAAAGGGTACTGACAATGGGTCATTTTAGTCAAGCTTTAAAAAATGTAGATAACTTCTGTAGGATTTATTTCTGTGGCACTACTGGCTTTTATCGAACTGTCTCTGGCTTCCCTGATAAGCAGGCATTACAAAAGGCCTTTGCAACTCACTAAGTTATCAAGATAGGATTCTTTTATCATCAGGAGAGAAGTTATTCCTATTGTTAGAAAGCATTGCCAGATTCAAAATTATATTCCAAAATATAATAGCAGGAGGATGTTTCTCTTTCAAACAAAGAGTAAAAAATGTTCAATTTCATTAATAACTATTCCTTTCAATTCAAGGAAGATCAACTTGTTATTTATTTCCTACATTCAACAGTGAACTATCAAAATGTTATAAATATATACTTGGCAAAAAAGGTACAGTTTGGGAGCATAATTGTTCTTGCAAAATGTATGCTAGTGCACCAAAACATTAGTGACTTGCTAAGAATAGACTTCTTATGCCCAGTATATGATTGTGGGCCAAACAAGTCATTAAATACACTTTGCGTTTAATTAACCAAATTACTTAGCTATAATGAGTTACTCGTGCACTTTAACTTACCTGTACAATCTTGTGAAGTATCTGTATATTTTATTAATTTGCCTGTAAGTAATGCATTCTTTTCTTTTTTAGCCTGTTTTGAGTGTTTTTATTGTTTCTATAGTATGATTAAATCCATCTTTGTACTGCCAGTGTATGATGGTCTGGTGAATTGCTCTTTTACTAGACCTGCATGAGAGACCATTCCCCACAACATCCAAGGGTAACAGGTGAACTAAGGAACTGCAGGCAAGACCACATGGCCTACATCAGTTTTTCTTCCTTAGAAAAATAGGAAAAGAGTTCCTACTGCTGCCTCTTTAAACAACCTGACTCCTGAAGCAGTTGTCTTGTTGGCCTTCTGATAGGACTAGCCTGCTAGTGATTGATTCAAACAGGTTTTCTCTTACATTTCACAGGTAAGAACTAAAGAAAGGAATATTGAAGGTGGCAGAATATCTCTTCAACACTGAAGGTGATAGAATATTAACCAACCTGTAAACATTCAAATAGACTCTTTATACCCTGCTTCTGCATTCTTCGGCCTTACTTGGGAAAAGTTTTCAGAATGAATTTCCTTCGGAGGCGTCTCTCAGACAGTAGTTTTGTGGCTAACTTGCCAAATGGTTACATGATGGACCTTCAGCGTCCAGATAATTCCACCAGCAACCCTGTTTCCCCAGCAACAGAGAGGAGGCAGCAGCCAATTCAGCAACCAGCTGCTCTTTCTTCTGGTACCAGCATCTTCAACTCTATCTCCAGTGCCATGAAGCAAACCACACAAGCAGCTGCAGGACTCATAGATCAGTCAGCAAGTCCTGTCCCTGTAGCCCAGCAGAAACCCCAAATTCTCTTGATAATTGATGACCCCCACACAGATTGGTAAGAAACCACATTTTGTTTGTTGTTTGTTTCAGCTGCAGTAATCCTGAAGGTCTGCAGCCAAATTAATGTTTCTGGAATGCATAACTCAGATGAATTTATTTCTTTCGCACATCACATACCGTATTCTGAATGTGGATCACTGTAGCTTAGAAAATGTAAAGCAATGTCTAAAATATATAATGCAAACCCAGAATTAGCAGGTAGCCTTTAAAGTAACAGTATATTAAGAAAATAATACAATGTCATTTATTTCAAAAGAAATGCAATATTATTAACAAAGTGATGAATATCTTAGAAAGGTTGCTACTGGGATTCGAAGATACATGACAGATTGCAAGGTTATAGCTATTAGTGTTTGTACTGCTTGAAATGAAAATAATTCCACCACATTTTATAAACAGCCGAGGGAGTTATCTCTTGACATTTTACATTTGAAAATTGGCCACTTTAAAAATCTAAATGATTTTAATCCAGTCATATTTGAAGTGCCCCTTTGACATCTATGAGAATGTTAGTCACTGTTATTTAAATCCTTTGTATTCAGGGAGTCTACTTTGTGGATATTTAAAACTGAACCCAACAACTTGTTTATTTTATTCTTTCCTCCTGGCCATCTGTCAAATGCTTTCTAACAGTAATTTGACTCATTGTCTGAAAACCATCAGGAGCCAGAATGTCTATCTATCAGTTTTAAGAAGTAAGGAGAGGTAGTAGCCACCAGTATCTTACCAAATATTTTTTGGTAAACATTATGCTAATACTGGAGTTTTCTTAGGATAGATTTGTCTGTATCTTTTGTAAAGAAGGGCAAGTTTGTGTGTTTCTCCCCCCATCCCCCAAAGCTGTTTATGAGTTTTATGCCCATGTAATTGCATTAAAAGGGCACTAGGTGTCAGTACTTCCTCAAGTACTTCCTCATACAGGCACAGCTATAGTAACTGCATATTGAGAGCTCTGGAATCTGGTATCCCACCAATTTATTGTCCAATGGATTTTCAGTCCAATAAGCAAAATGAGCAAATATGCCTTTCTGCTCATTCAAATGTATGACCAAGCTTTCCATGGATCATAGTATCAATTATACACAATATTCCTAAATATAAGAACTTATATTTGTATAGGTTACAATTAAAATATTTTAAAAAGCCTTTCACATGTGACAAAAGTGAGAAACCAGTAGTCCTCAAGATGTGCTAAATTAAAAATCTGGCCACCCCACCTCTCTTGGCCAATGGGGTGAGAGGTACAAGGAATGTGGTAGATCAGGAACATTTGAAAGACCCCAGGTTTCTTTTCCTAGCTGTGGTAGACTTTTGGGTGGAACAGAATACAGAGCAGGTTCAGGGATTATTAATTTTTTTGCTATTTTTTTATATCTTTTAATAATCTAGCTAATCATATATAATACATCCATGTAATTTAGCTGAGAAAAGTTCAGGCTTATTTCTACTTGAATAATTTATTTTGGAGCCTCTTTCATTTCCTAAGAGTACCTGTCAGGATAGGATTTTAAAAGCCCGGGGAAAGGACTACAGATGTGAATTCAAAGCATCAGGAAACAGAATGGCAGTACTCCATGTTACTGTATGTCAGCCAAATCTAGGCACATGACCTCACTCAAGAGGAAAAGTTCCACCTCTGGCAATTTCCTTGCCAGCTCTAAATTAAAATATGCTCTTGCTAGACTGAATTCTGACCACGTGTTAACCTTTCCCAGCAGAAACAGATTCTGGTTTTATAATTTTTGAGGTGCTCTCTGAGCTTGATTGTTTTATTGGAGATGTTTCATTATCCAAAGTAGGTAGCATCATCAGTGTGCCAAGTGAACCAAGCTCGTCCCTCTCTGCCAGGGATGTTGGTTTCTTATGTCCTTATCAGAAGAAATCAAAAGCTTGCTATCTAAAATTTCAAACTGTTGCCAATTGACCTCTTGCTGGTGTGTTCATGTAATATCATGAGTTTCATAGATCCTTGACAGATGAATTGAATGGAATTTAAAAACATGCTTAAATATGACAGATCATACTTTTATTTCGGATTTATTAATGTGCCCATAACATGACGTACTAATAATACTTTTCATTCATTTCATTCAGTGATCATGCCAACATGTAGAGCAGAGCTCCCCAAAGTTTCCAGGTTGGCGGCCTGGAGGGAAAGGGAAGAGCAGAGAAATGTGTGTGTGCCTGTGCACGCGCAAACAAGCATGCACATGGCACTGCTAGCACCCACGCACATGCGCAAGCGGGCTGTACACACCCGTGTGACGCAGCCGGTGCACTAGCATCCCCGCACATGTGCAAACATGGTCACTAGTGCCCGCACGGCAGCGCTAGCGCAAGTGGAGGGTGCACGCACACGTGCACACACTCACCAGCCATTCCCGCGGTCTGGTGGTCAACAGGCCGCGACCTGGTACAGGCCACAGGTTGGAGACCCCTGATGTAGAGGATATTTGTCTGTGGATTGGAAGTGATTTTCCCTTTACAAACTTGGATAGCATCTATATCTTATAAAGTACTTTTATGTCTAATTCTGATGGTCCACCCATAGTAGCTTTTTATAGACAGTCTATTTAACTGAGTACAATCAACTTACTCACTAGAGAAAGCAATGATGTTGGGAAGAGTCAGACTGCCAAAGAACGTATTGGCTGGATATCATCAAAGCTGACATCAGCCAGAGCAGAGAAAATCTCAAAAAAGCAACACAAGATCAGAAGATGTGGAGAGACCTGGCCCATAGAATCATCATCTAAAAGGATAACATCATCATCAATCAATTTACAAATGTACAGTACAAAAGTAGCTTTCCCTATATTCAGTGGGTGTTATTCTTTAATATAAATCCAGATTTTCATCTATTTTAATTAACTTTAGCACATGCAGTGCAAGCAGTTTTAATTGCATTAATGATAGCTAAACTTGAACTTTTAACCATTGCTGGAATTAAATCAGAGATGTTATTCATATATGGATGGCCAATTTGTGGCACATATACCACAAGAGCTTATTATATAGAAATTTTGAACATCAGTAATAACATGATGTGTAAACCCTGTAGAGTCTAACTTTTTATAAAAGGTCAAAAGAAACCAAAATAACAGAATTTCCCAGATAGAATATATCCTTACACAATTAAGTTATTTTCAATTGTATTCTATCAATGTTTGGAAAATTTAAGGCAAGGGAATTTGGAACAATAAAGAACAAAGATGATGAGGGGCTTGAAGGTGACATCTAATGAAGAACGATTAAAAGAACTGAGTATGCTTAATTTAAAGAAAAGAAGGCTAAGGGGAAGCAAAATAATACACAATGCTTGTATTGTTTTCATAGAAGAAAAAGATATAAATTTATTTGCATAATCCTGAGGTGGGACAAGAACTAATGGGTGGAAGTTTTACAGAGAGAGATCCAAACTCAAAATAAAGAGGAATATTAGTGGAGCAATCTACCTCCTGGATTCATGTGTGCTCCATCACTGGAGGAGCTTCAAAGATTGTACAGCCATTTGTATAGGATGATTTGTGGATATCTGCTCTGCAACCAGTAGTGTTCCAAGGTCCCTTTCAATCGTATGATTCCATGATTCTGGTTGTTTATATTAGCAAGTGCTATTACTTGAATTCAGCTAAAACTGAATTATTAAGTTAATTACAATTTTTAGAGGACTCCTGATTGGAAATACTTCACTCAGTAAGTACAGTGAAGTAAAGTTTAATAATTGCTTCTCTTACATGTCTACATTTGGATTATTCTGAATAGGGAAACAAAAATGCAACCTTTTTTTCTACAACAAAAACAAACCACAGAGAAAGATTGTGTAACTCTAGAGAAAAAATAATATTTAGAATTCCCTTTCAACAAGCATGTGGAAAGAAAATAGTTGCAGTCCTTGAGTGTTTTCCATAACAACAAAAAAAGATGACTTGGAATTGTTGCAAATGGTTTGCATACATACATGCATACACACAACAAGCAAACATCAGATAGCAGCTCTGTCTGGGTGTAGCTCCGAAGTCATGAACTTTTGCACGTTTTTTGCATTTTTTCCTTTATAAATATTATTAGTGTGACAATATTAATAGTGTGCTTAAATATATGCTGACCAGTGTCATTTTGATGTGAGAACAGATTTAACCTAAAACTAACTGAACTATCATTTGCAAAATGCATTCAGTAGCGTGTTTCCACCTTATACAATTATAAAAACAAAATCTGAACTGCAATCCTGAACAAAGCAATTCGTGTGCAGAATTACAGCACATGACAGCTGCCTAGAGATTCTGAGCCTGATATAAAATTCAAACTACAATCAATTAATGCCTTTGACTCCAGGTAATTTTGTCAAAGTGTCAAGACCAATAGCACTTCTCACATAACTGTGTAGAGTTTCATAAGTCTGCTGCCACTTATATTTATACTTTATGTAGTATATATTTAAAGCAACTTAAGATCCAGTTTTCTTGGCAGAAAAATAGCCAAGAACTATAAGGATTAACATTGATACAAAAATAGACATAAGGGGTCTGGAAAATATTTCCTCCTAGGTTATAAATACAGTCATGCAAGTCAAATTTGGTAGCCTAATTACTTTAGCAGAGTTTCTTTAAATGTACTACATTTAACCCTCTAGGGCCTTGTTTGGAATATGCTACTGAAAAGTAACATACTTTGCAATGTTTTAGTAAAATAAATACATTTGTTATGTAGGAAGCATTAAGAAAGTAGTTCATTATATATTATTAAACAAAGAAGCAATCTTAAGAGAAACTAGAATTCTGAAACATTACTTGTAATATTTTAGTTCTTGAACAACTGTTTTATGTTGATATTACAAATCAGCTAATATATTATTGTAACACATTATATTCTTCTCAATATTTTGTTTAATATTGCACAGTAGTAAAGTTAATAACCCATTTTGGCCATAAGGGAAAAACTATCCTAGAAGCTCTTTTCAGACAGCATTGCATTAGGTCAAACTTTGTAAAG